GATTATTTTGGAATTTTGACCTTTTTGACAGTTGGTTTCAGCCTTGGCCTTGGGCAAAATTAGGGAAAGGGTAAAAAGGACTTTTACCCTAGTTTGGACTCTTAGTGTGAGTCAGGATCCAATTAATAATTGGATGTTATTTTGTGATTATAACGCGAGGATTTTAGCGGGCCAGTAGTCAGAGATTTATCTGTAAGATTCAACATCTGATGTGAGTTTCCTCACTGTGTTTAGTTATTCAAAGGCACCAATGCTGACCCATGATTATTATGTTAGGATGCTAGAAGTCTGTGTGACTCTTACATGTGTTATGTGCTCGTATGTATACCGAGCGGAGTTCGATGTCGGGAGAGGCCTGATGAATGTGTTGTATGCTATTACTTTGTGATTATCTTATATTTTTTCATGATTATATGTTTATATATGAGCCAGACGGGGCCTGATGTTAGGTTAGGCCTAATGAATGACAGATCTGTAATCGGAGCAGGGCTCCATGTCGGGCGGTGGGCGAGGCCGAGTGGGACTCGATGTCGGGCAAGGCCCAACGTAGGACAAGGGACCAATATGTTTTTATTTATCTATGTTATGTCGTATTTTGGGGAGCTCAATAAGCTTTGGGCTTACGATTTTTAGTTTATGTTTCAAACTTCATGATCGAATGAGAAGAGCTCGGGATGATTGTAGAGTACACACCACATTTTTCCGCCTTTTGAGATTTACTTTGAGATGATATGATATAGTGACATACTCTAGTCTATTTGGGTTGTATGACAATGTTTTGAAATAACGTTTTATTTAAATTAAATATGAAATTTTTTGGTCTTATTTTTGGGACGTTACAAGTTGGTATCGGAACCTTGGTCTGGGGAATTCGGACATACTCTCAGGTGTGTCTGAACTCAAACTAGGGATTTGGTAAAGTTTTTCCAAATGAAATGTTTTTAAAGAAAAGGGTTTTCTAATGCAAGAAATGGTGTGGTACATGAAATTGACCGAGCTCAAGTAAGTTTTCCCAAGATACCCATACATGTTATCTGATATGATTTGATTTGTAAATCTGTGAATCGCATGCTAGTTAGGGCTAAGGATCTGCTCAATATTTGCATGATAGAATGCTAGGAGAGATGCCTTTATATGCCTATTGTATGATCTTGTAGACTTCCATGCTAGTACTTATCTGTCAGTTATAGGATGCTCAAATGCTGCTTGCTTTGTGCTTTTATGAGTTCTCATTAGTTTTAGCTAACTAGTAAGAGAATATATTAAGTTACATATTACTAAGACTAGATAATTTTAGAAGGTTAGGTTTTCACTCCATTGTGCAGCTCTTGTTTGAGTCCAACCGTTATAGTGTGAGACCTCTCATTTGAGGAATTATCTGGTTTTGGTGATATGTGATGGTATTCATAAGCCAGTTAGAGGAAGTTAGCAGGAGTTTCTTCTGCAGGTGATGTTGGAGAGTGGGTGGAGTGTGCCCTAGGAAAACCTAGGAAGAAATGTAGTGCTAGGAGCCTTATCTTGTTGAGGGTTAACTGTGTCGATATAAAGTGAATTGGCGGATTCAATGCACTCCTTGAGGACAGTACAGATACATGTGAAAGGTAGTATGGGCCCGTACTACTGTAAGCAGAGGATCCGTACTCGAATCAAGGAGAGTTGTGATGAAACTAGGAAGCTTGTAGAGTTTGTGATCCCTCGATATATTTTCACTACAAGAAAAACACGATTTTCCTAGGGAAGGTCGCTATGGAACGTATTTTCGTTGTTAATCTGCAATGGATAATTCTATGGAATGTCGTTCCATTGAAATGTTGCTACCACATTGTCTACAGATTTTATTTTTGGTTATGAGAATGGGATTTCCTAGGGAAAATGCTACCGACTCCATATCTGTTGGAATTATGCTACCGATATTTCTATGGAACAAAATTTCGTAGCAATTTTCCAACGATATTTGTTACAAAATTACTTTCCGTTGTACTAATGCTATGGAATTAATTGTCATTGTTAGTATGCAACGGAGTTTGTGACAGAAACCAATTACATAGTTGACTTGCTATGGAAGTACCTTTTGTAGGTATTTGGTAGGGAATTCTGCTATGGAATTTGATTTTGTTTGCTTGTTTTGCTATGCAAAAAAAAACGTAGCTAATTTGTGACGACATTTGTTACGAAATTATATTCAATAGCAACGTTGATAAGGCGTATATACTTGTAACCATTGACAAATTATACACTATATAATTTCACTTTTTTGAATGACATTTTGGAAATGTCAGATATATATTTGTTGTTTCTCCGGATCTTATGTGCCTATATGAAAAATGGTAAAACACTTAACTATACTTCATTACCAAAATAACATGGGTTTTAACTATTCTTCATCCTACTCAAACAACATAGCAAGCAAAAATGACTAAAATAACTTTTTAACAGAATGATGTATACATAAACCCAAAATAAAATTATACACAACTTCATATACAATACAATATGAACACTAATATTCAAATTCCAATCAATTATCAACCATTTATATTTTTAAGAAATATACAAAACCTACCATACTCTACATACCAACGACAAACCATTGCAAATGCCCCTTTAACAGAATGACATGGGTATTCACATTGGAATGTGATGTTATTCATTGTAAGTCTATAAACAACATCAATAGCCCGCAACAACTCGTTGGCACTATCAACAACACCCGTGTACTCCCCGTCGTCCGGAACTGCCCAACCAAAATAGGAATCAAGTCATTGTAAACTTACACATTAAAATAAACATCAATTAATTCAATGTATCCTTTTCAACACAACAGTAAATATTATACAACACAACACAACTATATACTAACCCTAAACTACAAACGTGCATTAATTAACTATATGTAAATCTTAATTTACATATATACCATACATACCTTCATCACATTGATGAGGCCCTCTTGAAATGTAGATCATTCCAAGCAAATAAATTGCCTCAAGATGATCTTCATATGCTACTTGTCTCAACAAAGTCAATCCTAAATCAAAATTGTCATAATAAAAGCACTCATCTTGTTGACAGAATAGCAATATCAATATATAACATCAATCACACTAAATACTAATAAATGGTATAGATTACATATAACTACTAAAATTACACATATAATTCCTTATCTGAACATGGCTTCAATGTTATTATGCAATGCACATATGTGTATAAATAAATCAGCATTCAGATTTTTGGGACCCATTCCTTCAATCATGTCAATGCATGCTGTTTTGAACACTTGAGGATCACCCCCCGCTTCATACATCTTCTTTGAAATTCAAAATTTTAAATACACATTAAGTAAAAAATAAATAAAGTTGTATTTCTTCAAATATACATTCACTAGTTGATGTTTATTGAGAATTACCAAAGTCTTGCAGAGACAATGTTTTTTGCAGATTCTGAACTTAATACTACAAATGTTCGACTCAAAATCTCTAATGGGAGATCATCTAACGAACGGTGACTTCTAGTATTTGATATTCTACTTACAAAATACACATTGGAGTAGTTGATTTTAAAAAAAAATAAAAATTAAGCGTAACTATGAAAGACATTGTAACAGGGTTTGAAAAAAAAACAAAAAAAACAAAAAAAACAAAACAAAACAAAAAACTTACTTTATGATGATTTGATCGCGAGGAGTACATGGGTCTCTATTATCGGAGAAAATTGATTTTAAGAACGATTATCCTTCGACTATTTTGGGGTTTTTAGTCTTTGTATGCAGATTTATCGTCCGAAAAAGTTGAGACGTTATGAATGGTTGAAGAACTAAAACGTCGGTGTGACGTCAACGATATGATGGCGCCTTAACGATTTACAGTGCAAAAAGACCAAACTGCCCTTGAAATCATTCCAAATATGTGAATACTAAGGGTATGTGTGTCAAAACACAATATTCAAATATTATAACATTTAATAGGTAATAGTGGATTTTTGATTGTTGAAATGAAAAAGACAAAAATAACATATATATCATCATCCATAATGTAATACATTTATATTAAAATTCCACCAAATTACTAGTATATATTCATGTATTGATATTAAACCAAATTACGAAATCCAAAATAAAATACATTTATGTATTGATATTAAACCAAACTACAAATTAATACATATTAACATTAAATCAAATTACAAGTATGTATTCATGTATTAATATTAAACCAAATTGGTAAGAAATGGTTTGAATGATATGTTCTTTGAATTGGTAATATATTTGTTTTTTTATTGTATTTAATATTAGGAAAGAACAAACATTTGCTACATACAACTATAATCGCAATACAATATAAACACTGATATTGAAAGTCCAAAACACATTATTCAAACATAATTCAAACATCATTCCAAATATGTGATATATATATATATATATATATAATATATATATATATATATATATATATATATATATATATATATATATATATATTAAAACTTGACCAAGTTAGGAGTAGTAAACTTTTGTTGACTTTCATTTTGCCACATGACTTTCCAAACTTTTACTCTTTTAGTCCCTTACTAACAATACAACATATTTATTAATCAAGTAATTACTTATCAAGTAAATTACTATATATTCGTATATTAAACCAAAAGAATGTACATAGAATTTATTGTCATAATATGAAAGTACATATCAACAAACTATTCATAAATTATCCCAACTCCCTAGAAAACCTAACGAAACAAGCATCCCACAAACAAGTTTCACACCTAAACACTTATTTGTATCCATTCACAAAAGCGTCTGACACACTAATCAAAGACTTATGCATTTTACAAGTTCTATGGAAGCCATGGAAGTGTACATGTTCCCCCCCCCCCCCCCCCTCCCTATTTAAGTGGAGATGAACCATAGAATAAGTTTCTCTAAGATTCCACTTACCTTGTGCTCTACAGTAAACATTGTTCAACATATCCAAAGCTTCCTGCTTCCTATGTCTCCCTTAAGCCGTCAGCATCATCCCCATGACAAATGTTGAATCCAAATGTCCCAATGTAGATGCTTCTTCAAGCATCGTTTTCCCTTCATGATCAGCTTCTAAGAAAAATAACTTCATCTGAAAAAAAAAACATTAAACACATAATTTCTATTTAAAGTAATGCAAAACAAGAAACAAATTAATTAATACTATGCATATATATATATATATATATATATATATATATATATATATATATATATATATATATAACAACGTATCAATCCATTCCTGAACAGAATATTTGGGTTTCTCAGCTCTATGCGTTTGTTGGCAACTGAATGTTTCTGGTCAGACCAACCACGAAAACGTAATCCATCTAGCTCCATATATTTATATAATTCATCTGTTTTTCCTGCCTTGCTGAAGAATCTGCAACCGCAAACGAAACACAATATTCGCTCCAAAATGTAAAGACAACGCAAATACACTCGTGAAATAGAATGGTCGAAGACAAAACTTACACACTCTTCATCTTGAAACTCTCGATAGTTGAAATTTTTCCCAAGTCGACTATTACCTTCTCCATCACTTCCAATGGCATGTCTGTTAGCGATTTCCTTTGATTTCTTGATTGCTTCTTCAAAGAAGTACTGGCTTCCATAATAACAAACCTTTAATAAGACAACAATTCTGCGAAAACGATTTTAGTGTTTTTAGACTGTCGGAATTTTGAAATTGGGGTTGTTTGCTAGTAATGAAATAAGACTGAAGAACTGAAACGACGTGTTTCGTCGGAAAACATTATGGCGCCTATAAGATATTCTATTATAAAATGATCAGATTGTCCTCATACATACAATGACTCATATTTAATTAGTAAGGGTAGTTTTGTCAAAAATCATAATTAAAAGAAAGTTAAATTTCTATTTTAATACATAGCCAATACAATTGATATATGCCTTTTTAATCTACCAACTACCACATTTTACCATCACAACCATGACCGATATGTCATCCATGGGTGTTACTATGACACCATAAACAAGTACAATGTTGACTAATGACCCATATGTCATCCACAGGTGATACCATGACACCATAAGCAACTACCATGTTGACCAATGACCCATATGTCATCCATGGGTATTACGATGACACGATAATCAACTACTATGTTGACCAATGATCCATATATCATCCATGGGTGATACCATGACACCATAATCAACTACTATGTTGACCAATGACCTATATGTCATCCATGAGTGTTACCATGACACCATAATCCACTACCATGTTGACCAATGACCCATATGTCATCAATGGGTGATATCTTGACACCATAAGCAACTACCATATTGACCAATGACCCATATGTCATCCATGGGTGTTACCATGACACCATAATCAACTACCTTTTTGAACGATGACCCATATGCCATACATGGGTGTTACGATGACACGATAATCAACATCCATGGGTGATATCATGACACCATAATAAACTATCATGTTGACCAATGACCCATATGTTTTCCATGGGTGTTACCATGACACCATAATCTACTCAAATTTTGACCAAGGACCCATATGTCATCCATGGGTGATACCATGGCACCATAAACAACTACCATGTTGACCAATGACCCATATGTCATCCATAGTTGTTACCATGACACCATAATCAACTACCATTTAGACCAATTACCCATATATCATCCATGGTGTTACCATGACACCATAATCAACTACCATGTTGACCAATGACCCATATGTCATCCATGGGGGATACCATGACACCATAATCAACTACCATGTTGTCCAATGACCCATATATCATCCATGGGTGTTACCATGACACCATAATAAACTCCTATTTTGACCAAAGACCCATATGTCATCCATGGGTCTTACGATGACATGATAATCCACTACCATGTTGACCAATGACCCATATGACATCCATGGGTGATACCATGACACCATAATCAACTACCATGTTGACCAATGACCCATATGTCATCCATGGGTGATACCATGACACCATAAGGAACTACCATGTTGACCAATGACCCATATACCATCCATGGGTGTTACGATGACACGATAATCAACTATCATGTTAACCAATGATCCATATGTCATCAATAGGTGATACCATGACACCATAATCAAATACTATGTTGACCAATGACCTATATGTCATCCATGAGTGTTACCATGACACCATAATCAACTACCATGTTGACCAATGACCCATATGTCATCCATGGGTGATACCATGACACCATAAGCAACTACGATATTGACCAATGACCCATATATCATCCATGGGTGTTACCATGACACCATAATCAACTACTATTTTGACCAATGACCCATATGCCATCCATGGGTGTTACAATGACACGATAATCGACATCCATGGGTGATACCATGACACCATAATCAACTATCATGTTGACCAATGACCCATATGTCTTCCATGGGTGTTACCATGACACCATAATCTACTCCCATTTTGGCCAATGACCCATATGTCATCTATGGGTGATACCATGACACCATAAACAACTACCATGTTGACCAATGACCCATATGTCATCCATAGGTGTTACCATGACACCATAATCAACTACCATTTAGACCAATGGCCCATATGTCATCCATGGGTGTTACCATGACACCATAATCAACTACCAGGTTGACCAATGACCCATATATCATCCATGGGTGATACCAAGACACCATAATCAACTACCATGTTGACCAATGACTCATATGTCATCCATGGGTGTTACCATGGCACCATAATCAACTCCTATTTTGACCAAAGACCCATATGTCATCCATGGGTGTTACGATGACATGATAATCCACTACCATGTTGACCAATGACGCATATGACATCCATGGGCGATACTATGACACCATAATCAACTACCATGTTGACCAATGACCTATATATCATCCATGGGTGTTACAATGACACAATAATCAACTACCATGTTGACCAATAACCCATATGTCATCCATGGGTGATACCATGATACCATAATCAATTACCATGTTGACCAATGACCTATATGTCATCCATGGGTGTTACCATGACACCATAATCAATTCATATTTTGACCAATGACCCGTATGTCATCCATGGGTGTTGCGATGACTTATCATAGTCGAATTCTAAGGACTTATCACCTTAAATTCATCCATGGGTGTTACCATGACACCATAATCCTTGAATCCTTATCATAGTCGAATTCTAAGGACTTATCACCTTAAATTCGTCCAACCTAATAATAAGATAATCCTTACCTTATTTTGTAACTATCACATAATTACAAATCAACCCCTCTAGTTTAATTAATTACACTTGATCACAAAATTAATTCCTAATTAATTATTGACCAATATTAATTAAACAAATATGATTTCTCCTTTAATATATTATTCTTCTAACATATTAATAAATCATAATAATCTCTCTCTCTTTATTTATTTCTCCAATCAAGTTGCTTTGGTGAAGGCAACCCAAAAGGACCATGCACCATCGGGTCAAGTACATACCAAAATAGTTATGGACTTAGACACTAATCCAACAGTCTCCCACTTGGATAAGTCTAATAACTATTTTGCGTATGACTTCAGATCCTGATCTGCAATCGTAGCTTTCCAAAGCCGCTGTCAACTCTGATCCTATCAGATACGCATGTCCTTAGATAAGGGATTATATATTCCTCCATTCTAGATATCGTATGAGGTATGATTTCAAATCATTCTCTTTGTACTATATCTCAATTCCCGATTTATGACGACTGACTAATTGAACAAATCAAATTAGCCCTAGCCCGGCCGAGCATTTACGTTTGTCATCACTAAACCATCGAGGGGACCAAAGATATCGCTTTTATCCTACTCGGGATAAAAGGAACGGATAAAATTTGATACAATGCTTGCTTGCACTCACTCACCGAATCACACACAATAATATGTTTTATAACACCAAGTTACTAGTGTGTTTACATATTATCAATGTGCAACCAATTAGCAAGATACAATTCACACATTTCTGTTTCAAGAATATAAGATGTTCTCGTCTCACCAATAACTCTTGATACAATTCATGGAGTGATCCAAGTGAGAGTGGGTTTAATCCAATGCTCAAATTCATATTCATAAGCACTCATGAACGTTGCAGCAAACGTTTGCTTATGTCTAATACTCTTCTAGACAATCCAAACACCAATTCACGACAGTCTTCATTCATATCTACTTCCAACATATGAACGACTGTGGCCTGTTTGAATAATTCGATTATTCTTAATAAACTCAATTATTCTGGAAGTCAAAACATGCAAAGTGAAACACAAGAATAATACTAATCCCATATGGCCTCAACACTTTGAGCATAAATAAAACACGTTTTATTTATCACCATATCGATTACTCATTATTTGTCGTTTCGGGTAATCAACTTCTTACTTGAATTATTACACTTGTCCCATGCACCTAGCATGCACACAATGTTTACCTATGGTTCTTACTTTGTGAAATAGATCACATTGAACACGTTTCCAATCATTCTCATTTCACAACTCCAAATCCTCTTTCATAAGTGAAAGAATATCAAATTCTTGCTACTTATAGAATATGCTAGATTCTAACATCCTATGCAATGATTCTTTCGTAATGTCACTGCACCAAAGTCACAAAGACTATTGCCAATGATATTACAAAGTTCTCTATCGGAGATTGTTACAAGACAATTCCTTATATATGATGTCTCTCACTCAAAGTACATTCCTTTGAACATCCTTTTGCATAAAGGTTTCTAATCTAGTCATAAATTTTCAATATTTACTTCCCAGTATGGACACGCTTTCATATGTTCCATATGCCAACTCATTTTTTAATAGAATCTTATCTATTCATAATAATGTCAATATGGTCCATTAATACCATGCTTCCAACTACTCACAAGCAACCAATCCTCGTCGAACTTTGGATTGTCCTTTGATAGTTGTTTAATTATTTTAGTCAAAACCAATTATAGTCCCTTTTCCCTCTAAATGCGCTAGACATTTGGAAAATTTTAGAATGGTCAAACATTAAAGCATTTGCAATCGATCCTATACCTGAAGCGTATGGGACACGATGCACAATGTTTTATTTGCTATGTTCTCAAAATTTGAATTGTGAAAAGGAATGCCGTAATCATAATCGAAATTTTAAGAACACACTATGTACATTTGACTAAATTTATTAACATTTCTCAACCTAAGCCTTTAGATTTGAAATGAAGCATAATATTCTCTCCCTTAATTATAGCAAAACAACTATACAACCCTTACGAATTTGCAAGGTATAACTCTTGTTTTCTATAATTAATATTGCCAACTTGCAAAACTTTCCATAATAATCATACAATCATAACTTTTATGCTCCCACTATCATGATGATTACTATAAAAACATAACACTTATGCACCCACTAGCTTCGACATGTATTCATAAACATCTTAACTTTCAGAAAGACAATACCTATTGAATTTCTTAAGTCCATGTTTCTAATACTTAGTGCTTTGATAATCTTTTATCAAGGCTTCTTGAACTTATACACCTTTGCCTTAGATAGTTCATATGTGTGTCTTAAACAATTAAGACTAATTGCCAAACTTCACAATTCAAATCATGGAAAGGGATACCGTAACCATAATTGAATTCGAGAATGCAACTTTACAATCACTATCTTCTTAAAATCTTTCTTAGTGAAAGCATTTCCTCTCAATCATTTCCATGAAGGAGGAAATCTTATGACACTTAGATTTAAAGCGGTGTATTTGTTCCTATCCATGTGAATTTGTTAAAACCAAAGTTTACGACAAATTCAAACTCATATGGATCGAACTTTCTTAATCTTGATTTCTTGCCTTATGGTAGCACAGCGGCCCACCACGTCTTCCAAGTAGTTAAGCAACTCACCTTTTCCTATCAATATACCTTTCATTGATCAAGGTGCCTTGCCTTTTATGCGTTCAAAATGAGAACTCAAAGAGCTCACATGCATAATTAACTTAATTGGAATACCACAGAAA